AAGCAAAGTGCAGAATGACTTACATTTGGTGGTGGTCCAGGAGGGGAGGATAATGCTGGTTGCAATTGTTGTACAAAAATATTAGTTTGCTTTATCTCCTTCCTCATCAAGGTTTTGAAAGCTGCTGTGATATTTCACAGGCAAAAATAAGTAACAGCCCTTAGGCCAAAAACATCTGAGACTTCAGTGAACTTAATACTCCCGCACCACTCTAAGAAGAGAAAACATCTCCTTTCCTTTAAGTTTTATGTTGCTAGGATGCTGTCTGGAAGAAAAGAAATGGTGAAGACATCTCATGGTGAGGAAGACCAAAACTGTACCTAGAGACAGGGTTTTGCCTGGTCCCAGGTGGCTGGATGCATGCACACCCCAAAAAGCTGAGGTGGGTCTGGAAGAAGCAGCAGTGCATTCCTATGCACACCCACAGAAAGTATTAAAATTCAAGAGAAAGAAAATATAAGGGAGCTGGTTATTGACTCAGGTGGAGATCCAGGAATAGATATTATTAGGTATGTTTGGGTGAATTAATCTTTCTGGAGGTAACTTAGTGGAAACTTCACCGACATCTTAACCGATTTGATTAACTTGCTTGTAATCTATCAATAAATTCAGAATTTATCAGGGTTGAGATGAAAGAATGAGATGAAACCCTGCTAGCACATGATTTGACCCCTAATGTTACCACCACCACCTCACTTCGACATATTGAACAAACAGCAATGAGCTGTTAGCTACGTGGATAATAAGGTGTTGTGATGGGTGGTTCAGATAACATTTGGGTTGATATTTGTGTCACTTAAATGTATATTTTCACATCTATTAAACAAATACAGGTTTGATATTGGCAGGAGAAGTTTTTTTCTGCTATACAGTATGCAGCTATAGTCATACATCAACATGTATACAGTTATTATGCATACTCACCTACTAAAGAGGTCCAAATCCAATATGCTACATTGTTATAATACATAGCATAAATTAATTAAAAAAACCCACACAGTTGTCACTTTATAGAAGAGATCCTATTTTATAGAGCCAGATTGCTGTATGTGAAAGAAAATACATGTTGCTTACATACGTACGTTACTGAAATGTACACATGGAAAGTCTCCAGGAGCAAATGTAAAACTCTCCCAAATCACATTCCTGAGGTCTTTAATTAATGTACACTTGACTCTGTATTTTATGCAAATACTTGTTACTCTTGGAAATGTAAATCCTCTTCTGTTCCTGTGTATCCTTCCTCACCCACTGCAATGAATTAAACAATAATTCGCAGCTAAAGCTCCTTTAGTTACCAAAAAAATAGGTCATTAATGATCTCATGGAAAAGTCTATTTTCCTATTACTCCTCACCTCATATGTAAATGTCCACAATATTTGCAAAAGAGTAACTGTTCTGCAAAGAGTAACAAAATTATACACATTTTCTGTAGCTTCTGCTCTGCCCTCATCAGTTAGGACCAAGGGAGGAGACGACTGGATACTTTGGAAAGGAAACCAGAACATCTGGGAAACCGCTAAAATGGGATATCCAGGATATTCCGCCTGCCACTGAGCACAGAGAAGGTGCAGGCTGTTTTGCACACCATAGCCAGTGCATCTCAGCTCCCACACTTCGCCCAGTAACTGCATCTCTCTGCCAAAGGTGGCAAATCCATCTGCTCCAGGTAAATCTATCTGAAAAGTTTGATGGGAAGCAGTTTTCCGTTAAAGAATTTACTTCAAAAAATTCAGTAAATCAGTGAAAAATATCTTTTATTCTAGATATAGAAATTGAAAAATCCCATCTTTAAAATAGAGGAAGTCATATTCAGAGTTAAACAAATATAAAACTGAAGAATGAAAGTAGAATTTCTAGTGAAAACAGATTTTAATTTGTCTAAAAGGAAGGAAAACAGATGCAAACAGTCACTAAATTGCTTTTGAGATAGTGTCTAAGAAAGCCAGGATTATCATTAAATATATGGGACTGGATCACACACGGCATCTGAAACCAAATATACCAAAAGATATAGGTAGTGACAAATGAAATTGTCCTTATTACGGTATTAAAGTTACGAGAAACACATGAAATGTGTTTGCAAAGGCAGAATAAAGAGTGGGTAACAGATGTAATACTTTCTCTGAGACGACTGCACAAAGGCAAGAAATACAATCTACATGGTGAAAATATAAGCTGATATTTTCAACACGGAGCAAAGGTTCATATTTCATGCAAGCCAACTGCTGCACATTTCCTTCAGCACTGGCGGTTACTTTAGAGGTATGAAAAAGATGAAAGAGAAGACTTTATGCTCAGACAAATTGATTCCATTAACGGCACTGGGTTGCATGTGTGCAGCTGCACAATACAGCCCAGTCTGGTCAGAAGATGTTTCCGAGAGAACAAAAGCCAGGATCGTTCCAAAAAGAGAGAGAAAAAGGGCTGCTGATGAAACATGGCCTTCCTGGTGTTCAGCTGGTCCTATATCCTAGGAGAAGCCTCTTATGGATTGGCACATAAAATCACCAAGGTTGGAAGAGACCTCCAAGATCATCAAGTCCAACTGTCAACCCAACACCGCCATGCCCACTAAACCATGGGCTGAAGAACACAATATGTGTTATGTTAGTTATACATATATATATATAAGCTATATGCTAGTTAAAATATATATAAACAAAACCTGCCTGGATGCGTTCCTGTGTGACTTGGTCTGGTGATCCTGCTCTGGCAGGGGTTGCACTGGTTGATCTTTCGAGGTCCCTTCCAACTCCTGACATTCTGTGATTCTGTGATAAAACCCAATATAAGTTATATATAAGCTATATATAAGATATATAAACTACATCTCAATTACGTATAAACTATATATGAGAGAGATATATATATACATAGAATACTATAAACAAGGGAGTTGGGATTGGTGCTGCAGAGGGATTCTACATTGGTAATAGCTAAAAAGAAAGAAAACAACCTATCATGAAAGGGAACATAGCACAACATACGTGGAATGAGGATTATTTGCCACACAGCCACATCACACGTATCTTCGGGTATGCCCAGATGCAGGCAGGGTCCGCTCCCGGCTCTGGGTGCCCACCCCCATCTGCACAGCATCTCCCGGGGGAGGGAAACACTTTTTTGCGCGGGCTGGGAGGCTCAGGCTGGCTGCCAAGTTTACTTTTCTTTGAAAAAATGCTCTCTTGGGTCAGCTGCGCACGGGAAGACTAAAGGAGCTGTTAAAGGGGTTTAGCTTTGTAACTTGTAACTCTGCTTTTGGAAAAAAAAAAGCAGCAGCCACATAAAAGTGAAAGGCGGGAGAGGAAAAGCAGGGAGTTAATCGGGCTGGAGATCCCACCTGCCAAACGCCGGCGGAGCGGAGCGCTTGTCCGGCTGTCTGGCTGCTGAGCCCGAGGATCACATGCGTCCCCGTCCTGCCCCCTCCCTCCGCAGCTCCTCGCAACTTTGGCGAAACTCCCCCAAAGCGGAGGCACTTTTCGCAGGCGGGCTCCTGGAGGGGGGCTAGCCGGCTGCCAAGGGCTCTCCGTTTTCCACATAAACTTCTGGGACTCGCAGAGGAGATTGCTGCAAAAAAGCAAAGGATAATGAGTGCCCTTTGCAAGAAAAGCTCATGTTCTGCTCAACTTTGCCTCGCTCTCTGCGCTTTTGGGCTGGTGTTGCTGGGGGACATAGCCCGGGCTGTACCCATGGATGAACAGGATTATTACCTGCAGGAGATTAGCAACAGGGATCACTATTATTCTTTCCCATATCCCGGAGAAGAGTTTTTTCCTTTCACGGAGCAACCTGGAGAGGAAGGACCTAACCGTGCTACAGAGGCAGAGGAGCACCCAGGGTTCAAACCCAGCAGGAAAGAGTTAAAACCGAAGAAAAGCAACAAAAAGGGAAAAGCCATTCTTGAAACTCCACCAGGTAACTTTCCACCTCCTCCTCCAGAGCTTGGGGTCTGCTGAATCTCAGCCTGACTGCAACTTTTAGCATTAATGAATATCCAGTTAATGGCAGTCTTGGTAGTAATAACAATAAATGCACTCGTGGTGATGATGATGATGACAACACATTCATTTTTAGTATCCCTCAGAACAACTTTACAGAACTTTTATAGGCTTTTTAACCCTTTCCTCATCAAGTAAAGAGATGTCAGAGTGGTAATATATTAATAATGCTGCACTCTAGCCAGTATATGGACTTTTCCTTCTTGATTACACTTGACAACTGGTTTGCTGTTAAAGCTGCTGTTCTACAAGTGAAAGAGAGACAGATTCTGTAGTAAAAGCCGCCTGTATATGGTGACACCTTATTTTACCCGTTGTCATTTTAATCTGAGAGAGCTTCCTGTATTAATTTTACTTATAAATGTGTGAATATCTTTGGGGTTTCACTTTAAAGCCCTCAAGGGGAAAATTTTGTAAGCAAAGATCTTCCTGTAAAAGACTGAGCCATAACAAGCTCAATTTAATTATTGACCTTGCAAATAAAGAAATTAAACAGCAACAAAAATGCCCTCTAATAAAAAAGGCCACCCTTAATTCCATTTTCTATTTTATGCATTTGCTGGGAGGAAAATATGCAATTATTAAAGTCTGCAGAAACTTGATCAGCTTTTACCACCCAGTTGTTCCCATTAAGAGCTAATTGCACCGCCCTGGAAGAACAGTAATTTCTTTCTGTGTTTCCCAGTTATATAGTACGTACCTTACTGGTTTGGGTCAGTTAGGAGTGAGTTTGGACCATGAACTTTAGAGTTATAAAATCTGGGGCCAAATCTCACTCCCCTACAGCTGAACTGCCCTTTACTTCAGAAGAAAACTTTTAATGTCTACAGCTGGAGCATATGGCACAAAAGTTGCAATTCAGAGCCACTGCTACTTGCAGTACAGCAAAGTAGAGGACCAAGGGCTGTAGAGTGGCTTTAACTTTTCCCGGTTGCATTTAGCAGATAGTGAAGCATTTTCAGTTTCATTTTAACACCTACTGAAATTAATTAACCTTTGATTAGCAAAGATACAAGCCTTTAAAATAATAAATAGTGATAAGAAAATATAATTTCTGAAATCTGGAACACCATTTGTCGGGCTGGTAGTTTGGATTGCCAGTGTAACCCAAGGCAGAAGCCAAGGATGACAGCAAATATACCTTGTCCAGGGGAGGAGATACACAAGATGCCTGCCTGGGCCATCTCAAGGACCACTGTATTAGGTTTATTATCTAACCATGGGCAGCACGTGGATTTTAAAGCTACCTAATTAGGTACCAGGCTTTTTCTTTAGTGTGGTGGCGGCAATACAGATTTCCAGTCTGTAGTGGGATGCTCTGCTATTCAGCTCTGCTTTCACCTTCCCTTTTGGCTTTTTCCCAATTTCCCCAGCACCGTGGCTTCACACATGCTCCACCAAACATGACAGCGATGAGGATAGCATCCAATCTGTGAGAGCAGTGTTCATTTATCTTTACAGACAGCCAGCCTCCCTTGCTCCCCACCCAGTGCCAATAACCACTACCATCCCTGAGGAACACACATCCCTACCAAATCTGGTTTGGTTTATGCATGATAAACACAGCACTACAAAATTCAAACTGTATTACACAGCTAAACTACTAGGGGAGCATACTGAGGTCTTACAGGTAGCCTGAATTTGGTCATTTCCTGAGAATGTTTGATTTTGAGTGACATCACCTTCATTTTTCTAAATAGGAAATTAAGGAATTAGAAAAGGTAAAAAAGACTTTCTCAAACCTTCCCCGGAAAACACTCCATTGGGTGCAAACCAATTGATTGCAGGATTCATCTTCTAATTTACTATTCTTTACTTTCCACCCTACCTGGCCCTCCAGGGAGTCACAAGTTCAAGGGGAGCACAGGAGAGACTCGTGATGCACCACCAAAAGCAGCTGGAAACAGCTCAGCCCCTCCTTCCCCAGCAGGCTTGGCCTCTTCTGACACAGCTCAACTACCAACCTTTCACCAGCCGTGTGCAATAAGAGGTTTTAAAGCCCCTGAGCCTTCTAAAAGAATAGCCAGAGGTACAGCAAACAGCTCATCCCCTCCACCAATCTCCTTGTTGCAGCACATGGAGGCTTGACACCAACTCAACAAACTGGCTGTGAGGCTGCCTTTAATGTGGGGAAAATGCAGTGTATTTTTCTCGGGAGCAGCTGAACTGTTTTAGCTGACATAGCCATAATAAGCCCTAAGGCAAACACCCAGCAAAGAGAATAATTACCGTCTGTTAAGGATGTAAATGAAAACAGGGGGTTTTTAGCAGGAAGTGTCAGGCGATTTTAACTGTAGGCAGAGTTAAAAGTTCTGGCTGTAATATCTGAAATTTCTCCTTTCTCCTTCCCCAAAGGCAGGCAAGGGCCAGGTCCTGGCAGTGCAGTGACACCAATGCTCAGTCCTATGTCACCAGGGACCCATTTAAAATGAAGATCTGAAGATCTTGCCCCTCACAGAGGTGCCTAAATAATAATACAAAGCTATAACTTCTCACATTTGGCCTGTGAAAAGGACAGCTAGAAATAAAAATACCAGTTGCCAAACAGATATCCATGAATAGTAACTGTAAATCTGGCCCTGTAAAGATGTGTTGTTTATATATGTATACATTTATGTGTTTATACGTATATCTGGAACTGGAATTTATTTACTGGACATGCAGTAAATGCAGAAATTGGGTTTTTGTGAGTCTCGCTAGCAGCCAGGGCATGCGGGATTAATTAGTGGTAACAAACAATAGCCTGGCTGGGAGCTGGGATGAAGGAAGCAGAGGAATGGGAACGTGTGATCTGCCCCTTGGCTCAGCAGCTGGTACTGATCAGCCCCAGCTCCGAATCAAAGTTGAAATCAAACGCAACAGTCTGAAGGACACGACACACAGCAGAAGACACGGCCTTGATTTATTCAAGCTAATTACCGAAGGTGGTGAGAACAGAGGTGTTTTCAATCTATGAAATACTAATGTAGGGAGAAATTGTGTTGATGTCAGCTGGGTTTATTTTTTTATAGTATTATTAGAGTAAATATTTGCAAGTAATCAATTCAGATAACAGTTCAAAATCTCAGCCTGCCTTCTTGCCCTTTAAATGACTCCTAAATGAAGTGGTACGAAGTCATCCTTGGTAGGTAAGCAGTTGGATTGACAGGTTTCTGTATATACATATTTCCGTTTTCTAACTCCATCCTTGTTTGTTTAGGCCTCTATCCAAAGCCCATTCAAATCTGTGGAAAGAGCCTCGTTCACATCAATGTTTTTCTTTTATGAGGCCTTTAATAGAGTTTAATATTAGACATCTCGGCAACCACCTGTGGGGCAGGCCCCTACAGATGCTGTGGGGTCTGTCTGCGTCCAGGCAGAAATTCACCCCTGAGATGTTTATGGGGCTGAGGTCCCCATGGACACTGCTCGGTGCTGCACGTGGCTGTGGGTCAGGACAGACCAGTTCCCACCGGGAATCCTATCGCACCCAAAATGGCCACAATTAAATCTGTAATTATTTTGATTTGATTTACAAAACTTATACTCGGTGTAGCAGTTTTTGCTGTGGCCATGCCTCGACTCTGCCTGCCTTTAGAAAATAAAGGAGGGGTGTTTATTCATATGGCAGTGCTCAGGAAGGGATTTAGGGGGTTTATTTTGTATTTCACAGGTCTACCAGTATTTGATCTCTGTGCAATCTAACTTGTCTGCGTCTTTAGTAATCATGATTTCCTTTGTCTTTTCTTCCCTGTTGCTTTCCCCAACCTTCTTGAAACTCTTCACATTCATCACTGTGTATTTGCCCCATATGTGTTTATTTTTGTGTAGTGTTGCCACCTGTTTAACAATGTAACTCTTAAGGTTTTTTTGTTTGGGTTTTATTTTTTGTGTTTCCGTAGCGCATAGGAATCTCTTGGATGCGTCAGGATTTCATTAGAGCAGATGTCTAAGGAGGAGTCAGTAAGGGAAGGCAAAAAGAGGGTAAAATGGCCAATGCAAGCAACCATGAGAATTATCTTACGGAAAGAATTTCAATGTATAAAAATAGACTGATAGTGCATTAATGGAGGTATTTATCAAGATATGAGATAATGAAGGCTTGGAGAGACATCAATGAGTGAATAAAGATGAAAAGCTGAATCATAGAGATCTTAGGAAAAACTGGAAAGATTTTGGTGCAAAATGGTGATGAAGACATGATGAGTGTATGGTGTTACTGGCATTTGAAAGGTGAATTTGTTCATCATAGAATCACAGAATGTATTAGATTGGGTTGAAAGGGACCTTTAAAGCTCCTCCAGCCCAACCCTGCAGTGAGCAGGGACATTGGTATCAGATCAGGTTGCTCAGAGCCCCATCAAGCCTGGCCTTGAATATCTCCAGGGATGGGGCCTGCACCACCTCTGGGCAACCTGTGCCACTGATCGACCACCTCATGGAGAAGAGCTTTTTCCTCATATCCAACCTAAATCTGCCCTTTTCTAGATTAAGACATTACTGCTTGTCCTATTGCTCCATACTTTTGTGAACAGCTCTTCCCCAGATTTTCTATAGGCCCCTTTCAGGTCCTGGAAGGTCACTATAAGGTCCCCCTGGAGCCTTCTCTTCTCCAGGCTGAACAACCCCAACTCTCTCAGCCTGTCTGCATAGCAGAGCTGCTCTGTCTCCTGAGCATCTTTGTGGCCTCCTCTGGACCCGCTCCAGCACTTCAATGTCCTTTTTGTGCTGGGGACTCCAAAGCTGGACCCAGTACTGCAGGTGGGGTCTGAGCAGAGCAGAGCAGAGGGGCAGACTCCCCTCCCTCCATCTGCTGCCCACACTTCTTGTGATACAGACCAGGTTGGGGTTGGTTTCTGGGCTGCAGATGCACATTGGTGGTTCATGTCTAGCTTCTCATCCACCAGCACCCCAAGTCCTTTTCCTCAGGGCTGCTTT